GGGCGAACTGTTCGATAGGTTTTGCTTCGTTGATTTAGGTATATGCGACATGGTAATGACGTAATGTTATTGCGACAATTATATAATAGCGATATGATAACGGAGCGCGGACGATTACGACGTGCGTGTGTTCATGTTGAACGTTGCGACCGAACTGAACTTGTTATATATTTATATTTATTATTTAACTCATGTTCCATTCTACTACGGACTCTGAACCCGATTGATAAATGAGTTTCATGGAGTATATTTAAAAGTAACCTCACGTATCTGTGTACCATAGATTAATAAGCACCCCCTAAATTCACACCAATGTGTGCCTATGACTATAACATACTATACTCAATTGAGTAATAATAAAATATTTGAACCATTATTTTAAAACTCGTAAAGGTTAAATATTAATCAAATTGTTTATTTATAATAAATTGAAAGTTATATCAAATTTTGTAACGGAGCAGCCCTGGGCAACGCTCCCTTACTATACAGAAAGATAACACAGTACTCTTTTCGAAATATTCGGGGTGTTTTATTTTTCTTTTAATACAGTTATTTACAATTATTGAGGATGGTCACTCACATTCAAATGAATACGTAGGCAGTACTTGGGGATGAGGTTACCTTGACAAATCTGGGTATGAGTTGAGCAACGTTTATAATTTTGGGGTCACCCGGGTTGCTACGACCAGCCCGCTCGATAAAGTGGCGTCGGTCCGTAGTCCCGGATGGATAGCGTGGCCTAAGCAGGCGCGCTTGGGGGGACTATAATGCGTCGTTAGCCCTAAAAAGGGCTATTTTGGATTCGCACCGTTTAGGCGAAGGCCTTGTTATGGCTACGATCCTCGGGGTCCCTTGACTCGAGTTTCTAGGCGTTGACGTTATCGGCGGTCTTGATCTAGCCGACTGATTCTGCTCCGATGATTTGTCTCCGTCTTGTTACTGCGGTTGGTATGTACGGTAAGTCTGTAGGTGTTGAAGGTTGAAGAAGAACTGTTGCTCGGTCGGTAAAACGTACCCGTGACCGTTCCGAGCGCTATTCTCATTGGTGGTTGTATTTGGTTTGACGGATGAATGTGACATCGATCTTATGGACTGTTAAGTATCATCGATGTCATTTTTACTCGGAATTTTTGTAATCCATACTTTAGTAAAATGTGATTGTTTGTGTCTAACATCTGTTATTATTGAAGTTACTTTACCTTGCCATAGTGTAGTATTTGGTGGGCGTGAAAACGGCCGTTTTATGTGGTGTGGTTTGTGCCGTATCAATTTAGAGCCACTTTTTGCAATAAACATGTTATGCAGAATAATAAATCATATATTTTGATTATTATCATCATCATATCATCATTATCAACATATATTCAGTAGAAGATTATGATAAAAACTAATCTGTTAAAAATAACAAAGAATTATCGGCATCAATTACATTTTTAAGTTCTTGAAAGTCGTTTGTTTCTTCTGTTTTTGACATTTGACGTTTCTGCATTGAATAATATATCAAGACATAATGGGCATCTGTTTTATGTGTTGTTTTTTTACGATGGTGTTGAATGCTGAGAAGTTGGAAATGTTTTTGATGTGGATAGGAGGGGCCACGGGCTTAGCGTTGTGAGCTTTTTGAGGTGGACTGTCCGGATCTTTCGTGGTGCTGGTTGAAGGTGTGGTGAGTACATTGTCTTCATCGGTGTTAAGTACGGCGTAGCTGTTCGGGGTGATAAATACTTTTTTGTTTTTGTCGATTTGACTGGGCGAACTGTTCGATAGGTTTTGCTTCGTTGATTTAGGTATATGCGACATGGTAATGACGTAATGTTATTGCGACAATTATATAATAGCGATATGATAACGGAGCGCGGACGATTACGACGTGCGTGTGTTCATGTTGAACGTTGCGACCGAACTGAACTTGTTATATATTTATATTTATTATTTAACTCATGTTCCATTCTACTACGGACTCTGAACCCGATTGATAAATGAGTTTCATGGAGTATATTTAAAAGTAACCTCACGTATCTGTGTACCATAGATTAATCAAGCACCCCCTAAATTCACACCAATGTGTGCCTATGACTATAACATACTATACTCAATTGAGTAATAATAAAATATTTGAACCATTATTTTAAAACTCGTAAAGGTTAAATATTAATCAAATTGTTTATTTATAATAAATTGAAAGTTATATCAAATTTTGTAACGGAGCAGCCCTGGGCAACGCTCCCTTACTATACAGAAAGATAACACAGTACTCTTTTCGAAATATTCGGGGTGTTTTATTTTTCTTTTAATACAGTTATTTACAATTATTGAGGATGGTCACTCACATTCAAATGAATACGTAGGCAGTACTTGGGGATGAGGTTACCTTGACAAATCTGGGTATGAGTTGAGCAACGTTTATAATTTTGGGGTCACCCGGGTTGCTACGACCAGCCCGCTCGATAAAGTGGCGTCGGTCCGTAGTCCCGGATGGATAGCGTGGCCTAAGCAGGCGCGCTTGGGGGGACTATAATGCGTCGTTAGCCCTAAAAAGGGCTATTTTGGATTCGCACCGTTTAGGCGAAGGCCTTGTTATGGCTACGATCCTCGGGGTCCCTTGACTCGAGTTTCTAGGCGTTGACGTTATCGGCGGTCTTGATCTAGCCGACTGATTCTGCTCCGATGATTTGTCTCCGTCTTGTTACTGCGGTTGGTATGTACGGTAAGTCTGTAGGTGTTGAAGGTTGAAGAAGAACTGTTGCTCGGTCGGTAAAACGTACCCGTGACCGTTCCGAGCGCTATTCTCATTGGTGGTTGTATTTGGTTTGACGGATGAATGTGACATCGATCTTATGGACTGTTAAGTATCATCGATGTCATTTTTACTCGGAATTTTTGTAATCCATACTTTAGTAAAATGTGATTGTTTGTGTCTAACATCTGTTATTATTGAAGTTACTTTACCTTGCCATAGTGTAGTATTTGGTGGGCGTGAAAACGGCCGTTTTATGTGGTGTGGTTTGTGCCGTATCAATTTAGAGCCACTTTTTGCAATAAACATGTTATGCAGAATAATAAATCATATATTTTGATTATTATCATCATCATATCATCATTATCAACATATATTCAGTAGAAGATTATGATAAAAACTAATCTGTTAAAAATAACAAAGAATTATCGGCATCAATTACATTTTTAAGTTCTTGAAAGTCGTTTGTTTCTTCTGTTTTTGACATTTGACGTTTCTGCATTGAATAATATATCAAGACATAATGGGCATCTGTTTTATGTGTTGTTTTTTTACGATGGTGTTGAATGCTGAGAAGTTGGAAATGTTTTTGATGTGGATAGGAGGGGCCACGGGCTTAGCGTTGTGAGCTTTTTGAGGTGGACTGTCCGGATCTTTCGTGGTGCTGGTTGAAGGTGTGGTGAGTACATTGTCTTCATCGGTGTTAAGTACGGCGTAGCTGTTCGGGGTGATAAATACTTTTTTGTTTTTGTCGATTTGACTGGGCGAACTGTTCGATAGGTTTTGCTTCGTTGATTTAGGTATATGCGACATGGTAATGACGTAATGTTATTGCGACAATTATATAATAGCGATATGATAACGGAGCGCGGACGATTACGACGTGCGTGTGTTCATGTTGAACGTTGCGACCGAACTGAACTTGTTATATATTTATATTTATTATTTAACTCATGTTCCATTCTACTACGGACTCTGAACCCGATTGATAAATGAGTTTCATGGAGTATATTTAAAAGTAACCTCACGTATCTGTGTACCATAGATTAATCAAGCACCCCCTAAATTCACACCAATGTGTGCCTATGACTATAACATACTATACTCAATTGAGTAATAATAAAATATTTGAACCATTATTTTAAAACTCGTAAAGGTTAAATATTAATCAAATTGTTTATTTATAATAAATTGAAAGTTATATCAAATTTTGTAACGGAGCAGCCCTGGGCAACGCTCCCTTACTATACAGAAAGATAACACAGTACTCTTTTCGAAATATTCGGGGTGTTTTATTTTTCTTTTAATACAGTTATTTACAATTATTGAGGATGGTCACTCACATTCAAATGAATACGTAGGCAGTACTTGGGGATGAGGTTACCTTGACAAATCTGGGTATGAGTTGAGCAACGTTTATAATTTTGGGGTCACCCGGGTTGCTACGACCAGCCCGCTCGATAAAGTGGCGTCGGTCCGTAGTCCCGGATGGATAGCGTGGCCTAAGCAGGCGCGCTTGGGGGGACTATAATGCGTCGTTAGCCCTAAAAAGGGCTATTTTGGATTCGCACCGTTTAGGCGAAGGCCTTGTTATGGCTACGATCCTCGGGGTCCCTTGACTCGAGTTTCTAGGCATTGACGTTATCGGCGGTCTTGATCTAGCCGACTGATTCTGCTCCGATGATTTGTCTCCGTCTTGTTACTGCGGTTGGTATGTACGGTAAGTCTGTAGGTGTTGAAGGTTGAAGAAGAACTGTTGCTCGGTCGGTAAAACGTACCCGTGACCGTTCCGAGCGCTATTCTCATTGGTGGTTGTATTTGGTTTGACGGATGAATGTGACATCGATCTTATGGACTGTTAAGTATCATCGATGTCATTTTTACTCGGAATTTTTGTAATCCATACTTTAGTAAAATGTGATTGTTTGTGTCTAACATCTGTTATTATTGAAGTTACTTTACCTTGCCATAGTGTAGTATTTGGTGGGCGTGAAAACGGCCGTTTTATGTGGTGTGGTTTGTGCCGTATCAATTTAGAGCCACTTTTTGCAATAAACATGTTATGCAGAATAATAAATCATATATTTTGATTATTATCATCATCATATCATCATTATCAACATATATTCAGTAGAAGATTATGATAAAAACTAATCTGTTAAAAATAACAAAGAATTATCGGCATCAATTACATTTTTAAGTTCTTGAAAGTCGTTTGTTTCTTCTGTTTTTGACATTTGACGTTTCTGCATTGAATAATATATCAAGACATAATGGGCATCTGTTTTATGTGTTGTTTTTTTACGATGGTGTTGAATGCTGAGAAGTTGGAAATGTTTTTGATGTGGATAGGAGGGGCCACGGGCTTAGCGTTGTGAGCTTTTTGAGGTGGACTGTCCGGATCTTTCGTGGTGCTGGTTGAAGGTGTGGTGAGTACATTGTCTTCATCGGTGTTAAGTACGGCGTAGCTGTTCGGGGTGATAAATACTTTTTTGTTTTTGTCGATTTGACTGGGCGAACTGTTCGATAGGTTTTGCTTCGTTGATTTAGGTATATGCGACATGGTAATGACGTAATGTTATTGCGACAATTATATAATAGCGATATGATAACGGAGCGCGGACGATTACGACGTGCGTGTGTTCATGTTGAACGTTGCGACCGAACTGAACTTGTTATATATTTATATTTATTATTTAACTCATGTTCCATTCTACTACGGACTCTGAACCCGATTGATAAATGAGTTTCATGGAGTATATTTAAAAGTAACCTCACGTATCTGTGTACCATAGATTAATCAAGCACCCCCTAAATTCACACCAATGTGTGCCTATGACTATAACATACTATACTCAATTGAGTAATAATAAAATATTTGAACCATTATTTTAAAACTCGTAAAGGTTAAATATTAATCAAATTGTTTATTTATAATAAATTGAAAGTTATATCAAATTTTGTAACGGAGCAGCCCTGGGCAACGCTCCCTTACTATACAGAAAGATAACACAGTACTCTTTTCGAAATATTCGGGGTGTTTTATTTTTCTTTTAATACAGTTATTTACAATTATTGAGGATGGTCACTCACATTCAAATGAATACGTAGGCAGTACTTGGGGATGAGGTTACCTTGACAAATCTGGGTATGAGTTGAGCAACGTTTATAATTTTGGGGTCACCCGGGTTGCTACGACCAGCCCGCTCGATAAAGTGGCGTCGGTCCGTAGTCCCGGATGGATAGCGTGGCCTAAGCAGGCGCGCTTGGGGGGACTATAATGCGTCGTTAGCCCTAAAAAGGGCTATTTTGGATTCGCACCGTTTAGGCGAAGGCCTTGTTATGGCTACGATCCTCGGGGTCCCTTGACTCGAGTTTCTAGGCGTTGACGTTATCGGCGGTCTTGATCTAGCCGACTGATTCTGCTCCGATGATTTGTCTCCGTCTTGTTACTGCGGTTGGTATGTACGGTAAGTCTGTAGGTGTTGAAGGTTGAAGAAGAACTGTTGCTCGGTCGGTAAAACGTACCCGTGACCGTTCCGAGCGCTATTCTCATTGGTGGTTGTATTTGGTTTGACGGATGAATGTGACATCGATCTTATGGACTGTTAAGTATCATCGATGTCATTTTTACTCGGAATTTTTGTAATCCATACTTTAGTAAAATGTGATTGTTTGTGTCTAACATCTGTTATTATTGAAGTTACTTTACCTTGCCATAGTGTAGTATTTGGTGGGCGTGAAAACGGCCGTTTTATGTGGTGTGGTTTGTGCCGTATCAATTTAGAGCCACTTTTTGCAATAAACATGTTATGCAGACTAATAAATCATATATTTTGATTATTATCATCATCATATCGTCATTATCAACATATATTCTGTAGAATATTATGATAAAAACTAATCAGTTAAAAATAACAAAGAATTATTGGCATCAATAACAATTTTAAGTCCTTGAAAGTCGTTTGTTTCTTCTGTTTTTAACATTTGACGTTTCTGCCTTGAATAACATATCATGACATAATGGGAATCTGTTTTATGTGTTGTGGTTTGTGCCGTATCAATAAGGAGCCACTTTTTGCAATAAACATATTATGCAGACTAATAAATCATATATTTTGATTATTATTATCATCAAATCATCATTATCAACATATATTCTGTAGAAGATTATGATAAAAACTAATCTGTTAAAAATAACAAAGAATTATCGGCATCAATAACATTTTTAAGTTCTTGAAAGTCGTTTGTTTCTTCTGTTTTTGACATTTGACGTTTGTTCCTCGCTGCACTTGGCGCTCTCCATTAGCGGCCGGGGCGGTGGCCTCTCGGGAGCCCGCGCTGGCGGCAGTAGTTGAGCCTGTCGGGTGTTGGCCGGTGGCTGTGCCACCCGTCTGGGGCTACGCGACCTGGTGTGACGTATTGCCGCCGTGGGTGTGCCGCTTGCTGCCATTCTGAAGACGGTGGTGCGGTCTTCCCACCCCCGCTTGTAGGCGGCCCACAGTACTGGGTCCCGCTTGAGTTGTACCGTGGTCATCCGCCGTACCCTGGCAACCGTGGTGATTGTTGTTCCCTCCTCCAAGGTGGCTGCCCTCAGCAGCTCCTGGCTGCGTTCTAGCTGTTCCGCCGCTTGTTGGTGAGTGGAGGGTGTCGCCGGCCCTTGTGGTTGCTCCATTTGGTGGTGTGATGCTATGCCGACTGAAATTGAGTACATAGAGATACTATTGAGTGTTTATGGTTTTGGGGGAATTGGGTGGGGGTTGTTGGGGCTCAACCACTCTGGCAGTGCATGCAGCAGTATCTAAGGGCGCATTCCATGCGGCACAGCTAACACTGAAAGCACCCGTGTCCGGTTACCACTTGCGTCAGGTGGTATTATCAATGGATCTTAGGGGCGTCCTATTCTTCTATCTTGCGATGTACAGAATGAGATGACTGGTCCATGACGCCTTGGTGGATTCTGTCTCTTTCCTTTTCCATTCGGCGATGGTGACCATCCTCTCATCTTTCTTAATCTTGCATATCGAAAGTGGTGGGTTACCCGATTTCCACAAAACGTTTATGACATTATTATTTTTACATTGTTTTTACTTTCTTAACACGTTGATGGACAGTTTTGTGGCCACAGTGGAAAAACAAACGATCTTTAAAACGTCAATTTTAGTACTGCTGTAGGGTTTTATGCTATAGGGCAGTGCAAAATTGTCCACTGAGATGTCGGGGGACACAATAATCTATCCCCTCATAAGACACCATTGAAAATATCACTGCTATTTCAGCGATGACAATTTTTGGAAGGTTTTTATGATACTGCTATAGCAGTAATATTTAAGTGTCCCCCGACATCAATTTTTGAAATTACTGCTAGGTAGTACTACCCACCAACGTGTTAACAGTCTTGTCATTACCAACCTTTAATAGTTGACCTTTTACTGGTCTACTATAACATGAGTGTTATCACTTCATGTTCCTCTTTCTTTTTTTTTTTATTCATATATATATTATTCTAGTTCATTAATTAATTATACATTTCAAAATTACATGTACTAGATTTATTACATATTTTCTTCCTGTACAACACAGTATGTGTGTAATCGAATCATTACTGTACGAAGAACAACATCACCAATTGAGTGTAAACGTCCACGTCATTTTTTTGTGATGTATTAAAAACACCTCCAAATAATTTTTTCTGTTGTTTCACGTTCTTTTTGGAATAAGAAAGATTTATATTTTAATATTATTCCTCCTTTTTGGCTGGTAATATACTCCATAATGCAAGCTGTGTGCCGTGTTATATTGTCAAACGGATAGTGTCGTATACTGTCTGTACGAAACAAACAAATTAATGTTATCTAGTAACTAATCTTGCAAATAATAAAATATATTGCGATAATAATGACGCGCGAGATTATTGATGTGCTATGAAATGAACTGCGACGTTACTTCCGCGATATTATTACCGCGATAATTTGACGGTACACCTTTCGATACTATCTACTTTATCTAGATGAATTCTAACTCTTTCTTTGTTGTAATTCGGCTTTTGATACTCGTTTTTCTTCCCAAAAATTAACTTTCTCTTCAACTTCATACATTTTTTTTCTGAATAACCTGACTTCAGGATGACTAAGATGCTCTGATTTTGGGCATTTGCATAGTTCTTGTCGTATAAGTTTATTTGGCTTTACGTTAAAATCGCTTGCTTCGCTCTTTAAAAGAGACATCACTGTTTAGTGATGGTTTCTTCAACTAATTCATCATAACTATTTTCACCATTTATTGAAATTACTGTTTTTAAATTGGCAGTTAACTTAACAGTGAGAGTGTGATTACGATTCATGCAACGAAACTTTAGTTGTTTCTTTGTTTTCTCTAAACTCACTAAATTTACAACTATTAATCGCAACACACTTTTAAAAACATCAAAAATGTTCACGTCCATAATTACAAAGATTAAAATAATCTTGCCGATTGAAAATAAAAAAAGGAACTGAACATTAAAACATTGAAACATATGTCCTTGTAACTGGAGTTAACCGAACTTTATTCACAATAAAAGCATATAAAACTAAAAACCTTCCCTGTCTGGACCGTTTGGAGGTCCTCGAAGATGCTCTCACCGTCAGTGGCCTCGGGAGGCTGGCCCAGACGAGCTCGTAGCTCATCTCATGGGCCGTCCCAGTTAGAGCAGTTTAAGATGATGTGGCCCATGTCCATGCGGCACAGCTAACACTATAAGCACCCGTGTCCGGTTACCACTTGCGTCAGGTGGTATTATCAATGGATCTTAGGGGCGTCCTATTCTTCTATCTTGCGATGTTCAGAATTAGGTGACTGGTCCATGACGCCTTGGTGGATTCTGTCTATTTCCTTTTCCATTCGGCGATGGTGACCATCCTCTCCTCTTTCTTGATCTTGCATATCGAAAGTGGAGGGTTACCCGATTTCCACAGAAAAAACGTTTATGACATTATTATTTTTTTACATTGTTTTTACTTTCTTAACACGTTGATGGACAGTTTTGTGGCCACAGTGGAAAAACAAACGATCTTTAAAACGTCAATTTTAGTACTGCTGTAAGGTTTTATGCTATAGGGCAGTGCAAAATTGTCCACTGAGATGTCGGGGGACACAATAATCTATCCCCTCATAAGACACCATTGAAAATATCACTGCTATTTCAGCGATGACAATTTTTGGAAGGTTTTTATGATACTGCTATAGCAGTAATATTTAAGTGTCCCCCGACATCAATTTTTGAAATTACTGCTAGGTAGTACTACCCACCAACGTGTTAACAGTCTTGTCATTACCAACCTTTAATAGTTGACCTTTTACTGGTCTACTATAACATGAGTGTTATCACTTCATGTTCCTCTTTCTTTTTTTTTTTATTCATATATATATTATTCTAGTTCATTAATTAATTATACATTTCAAAATTACATGTACTAGATTTATTACATATTTTCTTCCTGTACAACACAGTATGTGTGTAATCGAATCATTACTGTACGAAGAACAACATCACCAATTGAGTGTAAACGTCCACGTCATTTT